TTTTATGCTTGAAAGGGACTAAAAGTGATAGTTTTAGAAAGTTGGAGATTGGATGAATCATGGAGGGTTGCTATTGGCAACTTACAGTTCTACAAGGATAGCGGAGTAGGCGAAGGATCGTGTGACAAAGAGAGTTAATGTGAAAAGTGTAAGAAGGGATCTGGATCATTGATCACCTTTAATTCCAAACCACATGAATTGCGTTTAATACGGGGATTGATCTGGTGCATTTCATCCTAATATGGATCCAAGAGTGAAAATCATTTCTTGCATTTTTCACCTTAACTCTTCTTTTTACCGGAACCCAAACCCTAATTGTTCAAGAAGTGTTCAGATAACCTCTTCATCAGACAGTAAGATGTCCGGATTGGGCCTTCATCGGACAACAATTTGTGCAGATAGGGTCCTCATCGGACAAGCTTTGTCCGGATAATGCTTCATCGGTCAACACTTCATCTTTAAAAATTCATGTAAAAAATATATCAGTTAAAATCTAAACTTAAATCACAAATCAAATATAAGAATTTTACTCCTCTTAGAAAAATGATCATTTAAACTTCATATATTTCCCTTTGAATACAATATTCCACTTAATAAAGTACAAAAGACAGTATACAAGATAAAACATTATGTTCCTTTGAAATATATAAACCTGGGTTCTGAACTGAAATGTTCAGAAACTGTGTTGAAGAGCAGGTCCTGAACTGTGTGTTCAAAAGCTATAATGACATATCACACACTCCCCCTTAAACCATGCAAGTCTAATTAAATGTCTACAATCAGCACAACACATGACAAACCTGCAAAACAGATTAAACAAATTTTGGTACCCACACAGATATGGGTCCTATTTTATTAGCACTAGTTTGGAGAATATTATATGTGTCATGCTATCTATTCTTATCATATATTTTCTTTTTAGATCTTTTAATAGGTAAATCATATATGCAATAAGTATCATACCAGTTGTTATCACACCTGTTGTTCTCATACCAACCTTTTCCATATCAGCTATTCCATATGTTTTCATACCAGCTATCTACATACCATCTGTTGACTTTCTTTTTGTTGATGAAGTCATTCGTTCCACATGTTGAACAACAAATCCTTTTCTTGCTAAGACTAATTAACTGACTAGTAAACTTACCAATGCAAGGTAATACGATCTTTGAAACAAATGACTTCTTATTAAGAACAGAGTTTTGCGAAGACATACCTTCAGATTCAGGTTTCTTTATCCATACTTTTTTTTTACTTTTTGAAAATGATTATCTGATTCAATTACATAACCTTTATATAATGATTTGAATTATGAGATTTGTTTCATTGAAACAATTGATTTAGAACTACTTGAACAACTGTTGGATTTGACGCTAGAACTGTCATTCAAGTATGTTTTACACTTAGAATGAGAATCAATTGAGCCTGAAGTATTCATTTAAAAAAATTCTTTTATTTTCTTCAGTAACTAAATTATATTTCATTTTAAACTCATGGGGCTGTTTACCAAATTTTCTATTAAGTCCTGTATGGATAAATTTGTCTGTCTACATAAATTTATGTTGTTGTTTACTTTTCTATCTGAATCAACAGTCTGAATAACAGAAATGACCGATTTACCCCTGAGAATGAACTACACACTGTTTAATAAATTGTTGTTCATTTTTAAAGGCAAATGATATTTCTGAAAAATAAACAAGTAGATTAGCAATTAAAAAACACCAGCAATAGATACATATAACAATAGACAAGTAGATTAGCCATTAAAAAACACCACAGAACAATACTATTCTTTAATACCTGTTTCCTTTGCCATAAATCAAATTGAGATGAGGCAAATTAACACCCTTTAATCTCATTATTTGATGATCAAGAAATCCAAAAATCTTTCTGGAAAAAAACAGAAGCAATGAAATAGACCTCAAGTAAACAGACAACAATGAAACAAATAGCAATGAAACAGACAACAAGCAATGAAACATATAGCAAGCAAACGATGAAACAGATAGCAATGGTACCCAACAGAACCTATGAAACAGCAGCAATGGTCGATACTCAGCAACAATTGATTTGAAGTGGAGCAATGGTCGATACTCGAAACAAGCAGATGGTACCCAACAACAATCGATTTGAAGAGAAGTGGAGAAATAGTTACCTTTGGAGAATAAAACAATCGACCGATACTCAGCAACAATCGATTTGAAGTGGAGTAGTGGTCGATACTCGAAGCAAGCAGATGGTACCCAGCAACAATCAATTTGAAGAGAAGTGGAGAAGTAGTTAACTTTGGAGAATAGAGCAATCGACCGAGGAAGAAGATACCTAGGGTTCACGATCGTTGATAGGAAGGGAGTGTTTTGAGGAAGAAGATACGCTAGGGTTCATGGCTAAGGGTATGAGGGTCTTTTTTTGGGCTTAATGGGGACAAGTGTTGTTTTTGATCTGTGCGAATAAGCCCCTTTCTGTGCGAATAAGCCCAAAGTAAACACATCATTTTGGCTGTACGAATAAGCCCATTTACTGATTAAGCTCATTAAGCCTCAAGTAAACACACCCTCAGACCTCATATTTATCTTAGTCACAAGATCAATTTTTAAATCAGATAAATTTTTTGAGGTTTCAGAAATCTTACCTTCTAGATCTAATCTAATCTTGTCAAAATCTTTTCTTTCTTTTTCAATTTCTTTCCTTTCTTCCTAAAAAATTCCCTTCTCATTATCTGAAGCAATGTCTAGCCATTTTTTTCCCTCAATCAACTCCTTGGCAATAGATGCATTCTTCTTAGCAATATTCTTTTTCTCAGTAGCAAAGACTTTTCTATCTTCATCTAAAACTTTCTATTTGGTAGCTATGCTCTTTGACATTTCCAGACATTTATTTTCAAACTCTTCCAGACATTTCTTTTCAAACTCTTTCACTAAATCTTTATTTTCATTCTCAAACTTTGATCTTTCCAAAGTAATTATCTCTTCAAATTCAGAAATTTTCTTTGACAGATTTGAATTATTCAGCTTAAGAACCTTGATCTTAATTTCAAATATCTTCTTTTCAGCATTAAATTTCCTTTTTGCTTCAACAAATCTTTCTTTTTCCTTATCAACTCCCTTTTTTTATCAGAATTCAATCTTTCAGATTCTAACAGATTTTTCAGTTCAATAAATCTTTTCTTTTCCTTCTCAAACGCTCTTCTTTCAGAAATTAGTGCTTTCTCAGCTTCATAAACTCTTTTAGTCAACTAAGAATTTTCTTTTATCTACTTAATATTCATTTATCAATTTGTTCTTGTAAATATTTCTTTTCTTCAAGAATCTTTTCATTATCTTTAGTCATATCTTTGGCCTAAGAAAGATTAGAATGATTTTCATATGACCTCTCAGCATACTTATCTTGCTCTTTTTATATTTTGTTCAAAAACTCTCTCTTTCAAATCCTTATTTTCTTTTTCAAAATTTAAAGTCATTTCAAATTCTTAAAAAAATTTGATTAATCTCAGTATGATTTTTTTACAGTTCAAGACTTAGAGAATTCACCAAAATATTCCTTATCGGACACCAAATGAACTTTATCGGACAACAAATATCAAACAAAGTTATCAAACAGCTCACCTTATCGGTCAACTCTTTATCAGTCACTATTATATCAGTCAACTCACCTTATCGGTCAACTATAACGAACAAGCCTTAACAATCAAGCCTTTCACAAACCTTTATCGCCCAAAAACAACTTATCCTCTTATCGGACAAAACTTTATCCGATTACCTAACCTTATCGACCAAAAACTTATCGGTCAAAATCCTTATCGCTTAAAACACAAATCGAACAACAATGGAAATTTAACAGGCGACGAAAGCTCTTATAACTTGTTCATCAAGCGATGAAAATCACACTTAGTCAAAATTCCAGATTTCAACTCAAAATACTCAAATTAACACCAATTCAAATGAGATTTGCATAGAAAGATATGAAAACTAACCACAAACAAGATTTCAATGCTAATTTTAATCAAAATCGGATAAAAATGACCAATTTAACAAAATCAGCAAGAACAATTAATGAAGTTTTCAAGAACACGAGCTATTAAAAATTCAAAATTGATACTCGAATTGAAATTGTTTACGAAATTGAATGATTTGATTAAGTTTCAAAACAAGATTCACATACAGTTCAAACAACACAATTAATTAAGAATATGAAGATTAAGATTGAAAACGGTAGCAAGAAACAGTCGATCAATAACAGTCCGAAATTGTCCAATTCCAATTCAAATTCTGATTCAGGTTCAATTCAATCCAAGTCGCTGCAAACTGCTTTGATACAATTGTTAATCCCCAGAAAAGTTAATGTATTATTAAACCATTCAAGATAACAATGGCAGATTGATAGAACACAGAAAGATGATCACAGAGAGAGTTTCCAATGCTTTTAGTATTGAACGTCAAAGTGCCAGTTGATTACAAATGATAATCTGCTTTCTAAATTCGTACCTACTGCTTATAAAGACAAGACTATATATTTATACTTACAGTTACAAGACAAAATTACAAGAGAGAAACACAAGTTTTTTGTTTTTGTTTTTCTGGTTAACCTGGATATCCAACCCGCTATGCAAGCTATCTAATCCCAGGGCGACCACCTGCTTTGCAGATAGCCCGTAGTCACCGCATTTGAATCTCCGTGGCCACAAAGGGATTTATATTCCTTCTTGGATTTGAACCTGAGACCTCCTAGTACTTTTTGATCTCTGGAGCCAAGCTCAAAGAGAAACACAAACTTGAATATAACTTTAAACGCAATGTCTTGAACCCAACAAACCCTATTTCCATTCCCAATTATTTGAATTCGCATTTTCGTTTCTATTTTTGCAAAACCTTATCAGTTGGACGAACAAAACCGAATTAAGTGACATCTTGGTGTACCACATATGGTCCTAGACCATGCCGGTTTTCCTAAAACATAAGGTCTCAAGTTTAAAACCATCTTGTTCAACTTTTATACGATGCTATATTATCAAGTTTACATCAAGAAAACATATATCTATTCCAAACCACGAGGATCAAAATGTTTATTTAATTAAAAGAACGTTTCAAGTATATGAAATGTGAGTCATCTCCCACGTTTTAAATATCCTTTAGCAATTGCTCCATCACCACCGTTGGGGTAAAAGCCACCTGGAACGTGTTCTGCTCCACTTCCATACACGATTCTCAGTATTTCTCGTGGTGTTCGACCATATGCTAATGAATCTTCATCACCCGCTAATACATTTCCTTCAATCTTCTTCTCGGCCCCTTCGTCCCTCGACACAACAAGCCCTTCATCCTTTACCCCATTTTTCCCTAGCTTGTTTCGTAGTCCCGAGATTTTGCCCGTGAACTCGGCTACAGTCATCTCATACGGGCTAACTTTTTCCTTTGCTCGTTCATAAAGTAGGCTTCTGATGACTGCATCTTGACCCGATTCTACTCCCAGTAACCCTGCTACAAGCTAATCATCGTGTTTACAAACATTCATCACACAAAAAATACAAGAAAGTCGTTCGTTATTGCAAAATGTATTCAAATAATGGTGTATTTAATTTATTATTAAAATTTATTCATATTAAGTAAAAACTTGAAACGGTAAAATAAATAACGTACTTTAATTTGATTCCTATTTTGGGTAACGTACTTTTAAAGCTTTCATTTTAGTATCTATGATGTAAAGTTTTAAACATTAAGTACCTGGGTAACCGGTGAAGCATTAAACGATTACTATGTTGATGTGACGAGTGTTGTGGTATCCGGTTAATGCTTCGACAAATAATACTGAGTTGGATACCACAACACTCGCTACATCAGTATGATAACCGGTTATTGTTTCAACCGTTTACCCGGGTACTTAAATGTTTAAAATTTTACATCTCATGTACCAAAATGAAAGTTTTGAAATTACGTTACCCAATCAAGTTAAAGTACGTTACTTTTTCTACAATTTGCGGAAATAAATATATACCTTTCTAGAAAGAGGACTTTGGAGCTTGGGATTTGCTCCGACGTAGCCAGTAAGGCCGACGTAAGGGATGACGTAGCATGAAATAAGGTAATTGATGTCATTAGCGTATGGATCGAACGGTGGGGATAAATCTTCCCCACATGCATCATTCATCACCGTCGCAAACGATTCTTCACTTAGATTCAACAATGGCCTTGGAAATCCTTCAACCATCTTCTTAATTGCTCTGAAGAATCAATAACACCAACAATCAGTGACCAGAAAACCTATATATACATATATATATATGTGTATATATATATATATGAATTTAACCTCAGGTGGCCAACTTCTTGATAAGCGAATTGAGTGATTATGTCATTAACAAGAGAACTGAGGTTAGCCTTCTTTGCACCGACCGGTGGTGGGCCGCCGGCGGTGAGATCGGGTTGTATTGTATCCAATCCCATGCCCATGGATCCAAAGGAAAAATACTCGGCTTCAAAATATTCTAGATTTAAAGGGAACTCCAACAGATCAATATCGCATTTGGGTAAGTTGGATCCTGAGTTTACGGTGGCGGAGGTGAAGAGGAAAAAGAGGAATAGGTTGATGATCATGAGGCCGGTGGTGGAGGACGACTGTGGTTCCATGGATGATGGTGGTGAAGTAAACAAAATAAAAATAAAAAACTAATTTTTTTGAGAATATTTAGGTTCTTTTTATAGGAAGTCAAGTAGTGAAAATGTCATAGGTTATGTGAGGTGGCAGAGTATGGACATTACACGTGGAAACTAGATTTGGACCAAGGAGAAGAAGAAGAAGGAGGTTTTAGGTTTCTTCCTAACCTGGCCACCCAAATCACATTTAAGTAATTTAGAAGGGTATTCGGATAATATAAGTAGATATGTTTTGATTTTAAAGTTTTGTTTTATTTTTTATTTATAGTTTTGAGAAAGTAATAATGTTTTATTTAAATAAAATATAAATTTATAAATATTAAAATTTTAAAAAATTATATAAAAATTTCATTTTTTATGTAATTT